ATATATATATCTAAATGCAAAAACTAGATAAATTTAAGGTTGAAAATTAACTGTCTATTTTATTTTGTTAGTATATGAAAGTGACTTTGTTTATTCATCAAAATCAAACAAACCACTTCTGTTAAAGTTTCTAGCTGTTGTATTTCATGGAGTTTTCTTCTCATCCTCTATATATTAAACAGACACCTGCAACATCGTTTCTCTTTCATTTTCAATCCTGTTTTATGTTGCTCTTCTATTTATTAACATTCATTATGAATGGAACTGAAACTTTATTTATATTCAAAACGTATCTACGTATCTTTTAAAAAAAGATGACAAATGCTGTCAGCTATTTTCAACTTTTGCTTTTCCACAATCGATTGTATCCGGAAAATAAATGTTTATTGAATATAAAATACTCTTCAAGACTTTTCATTACATTTCGAAGCACAATAAATGATAAGAAAAAATGAATTTAGAAAAGGAGTGAAAGACACTTTTTAAAAGAAAAAGATTTAAAAAAAAGAATGAAAGAAACAGAAAAGGCGACGTAGGAAGAAGAGAATAACTTATAAATATAAAGCACAATGAAGATGTGATTATGAGATAAAGATTCAAGTCGCATCCATATTCGCATTTATATTTTCTAAGTAAAATCGATCAATTATCGGAAGATTGAACAGCTGACAAAGTCGTAAATGGGTATGGGTGTGAATGTACATGAATGTATAGTAGAAGTTAAATGAACGCTCATATCGACATTCACATCGTCCTATGTTTATGAAATCATCTTTCAATACTTTGATATGGTAGTATATCCTTTACTGCTGTTATTCTTGTATTGATGTTTCCTAAAACATTAAACTATTCATTAGCGTAATCAGTGCATAATATTGAAGAAATGAATTTCATAGGCTTTTAAATAAAAGTATGAATAATCTTTCATTTTTAGTATAATAAACAATATTTTTAGTCTTTGCTATTAATTTGTATAGATGTTCTTCATACGCAGATTAATATTTCTTAATATATTCTCAAACATTAACGAATAAAGAAATGAGATGAAAAAAACAGATTAAAATATATAAATTTATTCTACTGAACCAGTTTGAATATGATGCAAAAGATTTGAAGTTGATGTTGATGTACGAGGAACAATATATAAACATAAAATACATTCAGCGTCAAAAGATTTATCTACGAATTTGAAATATCTCTATACTACCCTGCCCTTCGCTTTGACTGTTCGTCCAGGAGTGTAGGTAATTGAAGGAGGTAATACTGTTGTGTTATTTTCGAAAGATAATACTGAATACCCAGCTGAAAAGATGCAAATAAAAAACAATACCTTTTTTAATATGAAAACCATAGAATTAATGTTAGTTTCGATCTAGGTATCATCACAATTGAATTAAATGAAGTTATTAAACATTTACTATTGTTTTGATCGAGGTAAAATATGGATGGCCAGCGGTAACACAAGTTTATAGCTGTCACTGTGATAATTTATTTTCTTGATTACTCTGTGATTAAAATAATGTATAAAAATTCCTATTTATATTGGATTATGCCGTCCTTCGCTAAGAGAAAGAGAACTTTTTTCTAGCAACAGAAAGGCGAAATACTTTTGCGATATTCGAATATGCTTGCAAACATAGGAAAAAACAAACGACGATAACGAAACGAAATTTTTCTTTCTTTTCTTCTTACGCATATATAGTATCCAGCATTTTTTTATATTCGAATATATTTCGGCCCACCACTGGTTTGGTTTGATTATGATCCAAAGGTGAAACCATTGATAAGAATAAGCCATATATTTTTACTTGAATGTTGTATTCTTGTTTTTTTTACATGTGACAATGGTTGTTATTACAACATTACTTTTTATTTTAACATTCCTTTCTGGAACGTTTAGTTTGAATGTATTAATAGTTAGTATCGGTGCAGCTGGTCATGTAATTCCACTGTTTGAATTAGCAAAAGGAATGCGCAATCATAATGTAACATTTGTGACTGAAGCTCAAGCTCAACCTTACATCAATGTAGAATCACATCCAAATATATCATCACTTCGTCTTATTTATTTGAATAATTCAATGGATACATTAGATATGCATACGAAAAAGATGCAAGAGTTTGTTAACTATGCAATAAATCATTCATCTTTTGATAATTTTGCTTATGTGATAACAGAAGTAAGTGATAGTATAAGTGGATTAATGAACAAGACAGTACATCTAGTAATGGAAGAGCAATATGATGTTATTGTTGGTACTACATTAACCGTAGGCATGCATGCACTTTGCAACGATGCAAATATCTCGTGTGTAATGCAACTAGCAGAAAAAGATCCAAATATGTTTGATGTTAATCTACCATATAGTTACTCTTTATTGTCAGGAGAGCAATTATCGACATTTAAATATCGTATATACAATGTTGCTTTTACTATACGTATGATCACATCGATCTTTACAAAATTAATCAGCTTATTCTCAACGTTAATACAATCGTTACCACAAGTTCCCGGACCATTTTACGAAACTTTTACATGGAAAAATATTTTGTTAACAAAATCGAAATGCTTAACATTGTATAGTATTCCTCCGACACTCTATCTACCATCAGATTTATCGCATTCTTCGAAATATCTTGGTGCATTTATAGATGAATCTTCAATCAATAATACAGACAATGAATTAACCAGATGGATAGAATCAAAACCTGAAAAATCTATTATTTATGTTGCATTTGGTAGTGTTGGCATAGTTAATATGGATCGAATGAAAAGTTTAATTTATGGTCTCGCAGAGTTTCTTCTTCAAACAGATTCTAGTTCAATTCTATTGGCCTTTCGTAACAAAAACGTTGAATATTATAAAACCGTACTCAATGAAATCACCAATGAAAAATATCGTAATATCTTAATGAATAAACAAAGAGTTCGAATTGAGAATCAATTTATTCAACAAAAATGGATTCTACAACAAAATTCTGTTCATTTCTTTATTAGTCATTGTGGAATGGGTTCTACTGTTGAAGCGTTATTTTTTCAAAAACCTATTTTATGTTTACCATTGTGTCTAGATCAATTTGCAAACGCTATTGCAATCGAACATTCTGGTGCTGGAGAATCTTTATTTCAACGACCATCAATATTAAGATCTTTTCAAAATCCAGTTGCATATCATGAATACACATTTACAACTACAGATGTAACAACTAAACTGAAGACGATGTGGAGAAATATAACATATGAAGAAATTGTTCGAATCATGTCACTTGAAATGAAACATGCTGGTGGAGTAACACAAGCAGTGAAAGAAATTGAATTGTTTGTCAGTTTGAAGGGTGATTTAAGTCGATATGCACCATTTCGAAGTACTCTACCATTCTATCAACGATATATGATTGATTTAATGATTATCTATATCATTCTACCAATGTTGATCGTAATGTATTTTTTTAAAAGATGTTGCAAACGAACACAAAAGCAAAAAATGGATTAAATTTAATAGTTCTACTAAACTTTATAAAAACTAACTCCATCACATTCACATTCATTCAATAAAAAGTTTTATTCTAATATTAATTTTACAGATATATTCTCTCTTATGGATGGGTGTGGGTAACGATAAGTACTCTTTTGACTACATCCAGGCCCACACCCATACCCACCCTAAAAAACGGCTTCGCTTGTAGTATGAGTATACGTAGTGGTACGTAGTATTTTCATAATGCTTAAAACACCTTGTTTTTATCATAGTAAGGCATTAGAACTAATTGCCATACCTATGTTGACGCTGCGGGCCCGCCACTAATGGGAAGTAATTAGTTTGGTACAAAACGTTTTTTTTCAACCACAGGCGTGTGTCTAGAGAAATTTACCTGAGACAGCAATAAATAGATGAAACGGAAGTGATATAATGACGAAAGTGTGAGTAAGTCAAGGACGTTGGTGATATTAAGAGTAATTAGAAATACATATTATATGTTTTGTATATCAAAAACTATTGATATTGAAGACCATTATTTGATAAAAATCTTGATGCGTTGTATGATAGATAAAAACGAAAACAAAAATGGCCAACTTTAATATTATAATGTCATTTACCTATATAATATATATATTTTGATAATATTTCTTTTTACAAGTCATTTGCAAGTCAGAAAAAAAAATGAAATGCTCGCACATCGTCCACGATTTCGTGGTCGTCGTCCAATTGGTTATGGAGGAGGAGGAGGAGGAGGAAGATTACCAATTGAATATCAATGGAAAGAACTTTGGCCATCTGTTGTTTCTACAATAATTGGTACCTTGATTATCTTATGTGGATTTCTTCTTTTTGTTTTTGAAATTGCATCTTTAGGTATGCTTCATATCATTATTTATATTTATCAGAAAAACTAACTTCATAGCTGAATTTCACTACGTCTCAAATAGCTTATCCGATTCTCGTTACCTATTATTTGAACTAACTCTGGTCACAGATGAAATGAATCTTGCAGCTAAGACAAACTTTAGGCATCTCTAAGACATTTATTTCTTTAGTCATCATCTCTCAATAGCGTATAGGTAATGTCCAAATTCCTTCATTCTCAGAAGATATATGCATTATTATAACACCCCTCGAAAATTTTTAAAATATTGATGTATTAGTAATCAATCATTAATAGATATCAACTCTGTTGTTTATTTTTTTAGCTCTTATTGGCGAACTTGGCTTAGGTATTGCTGGTGTTTATGCATCTGGTGTTGGAATTTGGGCCGGAATATTTATTATGGCTGCTGGTGTTTTTATTGCTATTCTTAGTAAATAATAATGATTCATTTGAATAAAATAGAATTTTCTTTGTATATAATTTAGTTTGTATGAAATCAATTCGTTTATGGGCTTTTATTGCACTTTGTGTAACTATCGCTGCTACTGCTTTTACGATTATTGATTTTGGAATAAATGCTGCAAGAGTTAGTGAATCATCAGTAACTCGTGACTTTTATAGTGCTTCTACGAATATACGAAGTGCAGCTGGATTAGCAGCCGCACAACTTTCTTTTGGTATTATTGCATTCCTTCTGTGCGTTGCTTTTGTTGGTCTTTATATCTTTATGTGTGTCAAAATTACAAGACGCAGATAGAATCAATAATAAAACATTTAATAACAAATATAAAACTTAAACTTTATTTTGCATTTACTTTTATTAGCATAATACTAATCTTTAGCCTTCTTTCATCAGTTTAATTCCACTTAATTCTGAATAAAAATTTATTCATGAGCATGGATATTTAATTTCATCAGAGCACAATTTGATATTTTCCATCGAAAATCTTGTTGATAATCAAAATGATATAAAATTCATTTTAAAACTCCATCATGACTTGAAAATAAATATTGAATGAATCAATTTCAGTATCATTATCTCATTTAAATGATAAACATTCTTCTTTTTTTAAAATTTAAAATTAAAATTATCTTTTAAATAAGAATGCATATCATGAATAAAATGTCCTTCCCATTGATGATCAAATGATTATTTTTCTAAGTAAGGAAGACTTTTTAATATTATTCGAATTAAGAATCATTTCAACAACTGAAATGATTTTTGAAAATTTCATTTGATCTCATTTTTGTTTAAGTTCTTCAACTTATAATTTTGCATTTTTATTTAATGGAATATTCGTATGCGCTCGAGCGTATGGATGCGGATGTAAGTATGAGTATGTAATGGATATAATACTCATACTCACATCTACACCCACATTTATCACAAGAAGAAATATCTGTATTCATTTGGGTAATAGTGCAAAATAAAAGATGGTTTCTATTTATTATCGCCCATGGTGTATTATAAAATGCGCGTGTAAATAAATAGCGTCATGTAGGAAGGAAGGGAGAAAGAAAAAAGAGTGGATGCAGTACACGAAAAAATTCGACTCCTCTTATTTTATTTCTTTTTATATCTACGAATGTTTCTATTAGTCATTAGTTCAAGTTGGGAATTACCCGAAAACGAAATATGATAATGATGGAATTCTGTATTGAGTATTGAAATTAGTAACAATTATGACGTTTAGAATTCTTTATTTCTGATTGAGACAGTTTGTTTTGAAACTTTTTTCATTGAGAGGGTGTGGGTGATGATAAGTACTCTTTTGACTATATCCAGACCCACACCTTCAAGATTTAAACGATAAAACTGTCAATCATTGAATTTGATGCGATCATATCACCATAGAAAGAATAACGTCACGATGTGCTTTTTTTACTTACTCATGTCAGTAAACAATGGCTTCAAGAAAATATAGAAAAGACTATTTATATTACTACAATAATAATCAAGTAAAAACAGTTTGAAGATGATCTAAATGATATTCGGAAGCAAATATTTTAATGCAAATAACAATAATTGAAAGATATACACTTAGTCACTACACTGATCATGGGAATTTGAAGACTGCCAATAATTATTCAATTATATTTCATACACGTACTTTTTTTAATAATTAAATTATATTTTAAATAAAATACTTCTAGTTTCAATATAATCTGCATCTCATATCTTCAATATATAGAAAAACATGGAATGTAGTTCTTTGAGAAAGATCGTGTATTTGACTAGTATTTATAAAGATAAAAGCTTTTGTAAATTGTTAAATATTTGAATATTTTTACATTTCATTCTTATGACTTGATATTTTTAAATGTGATGTATAGTTTTATAAGAAAAACTGTTCAATTTTTGATTTGAACTGTTTATTTATTTCTTTATTATAATCGTATTGAATATTTTCTTCAAATAGTGATATTTAAAAATGAAAGGAAAATTTTTATGGATAAGTAGGATTAAAAAGAGAAGGATTGTTAGAATAGGATACATAGCATAAATAAAACAACACTATTACGAGAGGTGAATCTGTCCACTGAAATGTAGACTAATAAGAATGAAAAGAATAATACCGCCCAGAGTACTGAGTATATTGAATACTCCAGCCAATATTGAAAATTTTCGAGCACCTTCAAGATCACCACTAGCCTTCTTTTTTTTTGTTATAACCGACATAACTGTTGCAAGTATGCCAATTGGCCATAAACAGAATAATGAATTCAAAATTGACCATATAAGGTAGTCAGATACATTCACTTGGTTTACTATAATCTGTTGTGCACCAGCCATTACAACATACCCATATGGTAATGATGGTATCTGCCCATTTTGACTGAG